TCCCTTTCTCCAACCCCTATATTCCAGCTGAGTCCTGCATTGACACAGGTCTTAGTGGAAGAAACCACTACACATAGCAGGGGGGTAATGGCATTTAACAGCAGTTATTTATGGAAGTCAACAAGTCATCTCTCCAGCGCTCAAAAGGAATATTCACTAGTTCAAAATATGTTGCAAGATGGGTATTCCTCAGGAAAATGTCTTAGTGGTGCAGCTCAGACAGGGAGATCCAATCACAAACTGAAAAAGAACACACAGCGGGCGCAAATGACTAATGCATGTATAAAACAACCGATGGTCAACCAACATGGTAGCATTTTCCCAACTGTTGGTGATGTCAGCAATCTAATGCATTTCGGGGATGTGCCCCCTTCCTCGGAGTTAAAGCCAACAAATGTTCATCGCCTAAAATATGCATGTAATGGGCACCACATGACTACTCCATCCCCTCCCCTCATTGTGAAACCATGGCAACATGAAATGAAGTAAGGTACTGTTGCTGTCAGACTTCTTTTCTCCATTTATAGGTACAGCAATCACAAGGTGCACACGCAGAATCCAAAATCCCACCCCAAATAAATAAATAAATAAGTCAACAAACAGGCAGACTTAAACTTGGACCTGAATCCAAAATGAAAAGCTATCACGTGCAGCTGGGATATCATACAATATGTGATGCATAAAGCCAATAGATCTTACCCCTCAAAGAGAGACTATACAGATATGAGGGTCTTTGCAGCCTATTCAGTCGACCACCAGGGACAATTACAAATTCTGAAAGTGGTAAACACTCTGAGAGCTCCGAGGAAGAGAACACGTCCCCTGAAACATGTCAGTGTGCTCACATCACCAACAGTTGGGAGCCTGCTGCCACATTGGTTGACCATTGGTTGTTTTATACATGTGCAATACTTCTGTCTTTTGTGAGTATGAAATTGGCTTAGTATATTTTGGGTAATGTGCTACGCGATTGCGCCTCCTGTGTGTTCTTTTTCAGTTAGCAGTTGTTTATGGCTGAATCTGTCAGAGGCTGCCGTCCTGGTAGTGCTGCTTTAACTAAAAAAATAGTTTTGGTTGGAGTTGGGTTTATCCCTCTGGTGGGGTGAAATGCAACAAAAGCTCCAAAAGCCAGGCCATTAAAGCATGCCAATGACAAGTTCAGTGGCCCCTCCTGTTTCCCACACCTTGCCACTGCTCTGTGAGGTGCTCAGGGATAGGAGATTCCTATTTAAAACTTTTGCAATGAAATGTCCTTGCAGATGACATTAGGTTTTTCCTTGAAACATCAAAATCTCTTAACACAGGACAACATTTTTAAGCAGTCTGTATACAACACTTGGACAGTTAAGTGCCTATGCATTGAACAAATACATCAGAATGGGCCTTTCAGCACATATTCCTGGTAGCCACAAAGCACATGTGAGACCAGGGCAGAAACAAGTTTATTGAACATGTATGCGATCCTTGAAACAGTTACTTCACGACAAGCTGTACCACACTAAACTGAACAAAGAGATGACAATATAGAAACATGAGCACATGATGTAGTAGCACTCCATGCTCATGAGAGAGTTCGCTCAATAAGCAAAATCAAAGTCTTTAATGCCAGAAATCAAAAATGAATGTGAGGGAAGAGAAATTTAAAGCAACCTGTACTACTTTGTCCCTTTCATAATAAATATGACCGGCACTTATGTCCGATGTGATTACTGAGTTCCCACTGTGCTGGTGATAGAAAATTTTCTTTTCTACCTTTTATGCTTATATGAATGGTACCCAAACTGAAAACAATACAGAAATCCCCTGCTGGCTCTCTGCCAAATCACTACTCACCATTCAATATGCTTCGCCACCTGTACTTAGTAGTTTTTATGGTCATAACCTTTTGTAACTGTGAAAGAGACAAAACACTGGTCCTCCATTTAGAATAGTTGTGATCCTGATATGGGCCAATCTTATAATATGTGACCAAATCTGAGGAAGGGATTGGAAAGACTAGAGAGGGAATAAATGCATCACTTTTGTTATCCTGAAAGGGTGAGATATAAGAAGCCCATAGAGCCAAGTGGGCTCTGTCTACATAAACTGAGCCGAAAATGACCTGTCATTTACCCATTCTGCTCTGATCAGTAGGAGTTCAGCGGACATCCTTCCCTGTGTGCAAGAGGTCTTATAGGGGTTTACTATTTGAGGCCATACTCCAGGTGAAGGCTTTCCATGTGGACACTGCACTCCAGCTCAAGGCTATCAGTGCCACCCATGGCAGTATTAAGTTTCCTTGAAGGGCTAGAAGTCCTTGGTCAGTTCTTCATTCTATATGGTACACAAGTGTCTTTGTGGTTCTCCCACACTCCTTTATTTTGACCCTGTTATAATACCCCATGCTGCCCAATTCTCTTAACAGTGCTGACCATGCTGATGTATGACAATTTTCCTTGCTGCTCTGTTCAGATCTAGTCTCATTTTGTTCCTCTTTACTGCTCTACCCTGATTTACCCTCCTATTCCTTCATGCTCTATATTTAAGCCAAGTCTTCCTCTATGCTGCCATGTTCTAAATCCGGCAGCCCTGTGCTTTTCTGTGCTTCCCCATTCTCATTCTTGACTCCTCTGTGTTCCTCTGTACTGTATCTGCTCTTATTCTACTCTCCAATTTCATTCCCAATGTCCCATTCCACTTTAGGCTCTTAAAAAAAACCCATTTTGATAAAGGCTCATCTATAATGCCTTGATCATAATTTTCCTATGCTCCGTTATCCTGCCACATTCTAACCCAGGGCCATTTTCGATGCTCCATCCTGGTCTTGGTTCTTTTGTGCTCCTTCATGCTGTTAACATTCTGACTCTGGCTCATCTAAAACATTCCATTCTGATCCTGGCTCCCCTGTGAGCCTCTATATTGTCCCATCTATAACATTCCATTTTGACCCATGCTCCTCTATAGCACTCCATGCTAATACAAGCTCCTGTGAGCTTTTCTATGCTACTCCATTCTAATCCAGGTTCCCCCAAAATGCCCCACCAATATTCTAGCTAACCTATGCTTCTCCCTGCTGCTCCATATTTATTTAGAACACTCCATTCTGATCCAGGATCATCTATAACACTCCATTCTGATCCAGGATCATCTACAACACTCCATTCTGATCCTAGCTCTCGTAGCTCCTCTTTGCTACCCCATTTCAATCCAGGCTCCAACAAATTTTCCCACCCAAACCCTAGCTCCCCCATGCTCCCCAGTGCTGCCCTATTGTGATTCAGGCCCATCTATATCATTCCATTCTGACCGATGCTCATCTATAGCACTCCATTCTGATTCTGGCTTCCATGAGCTTCTCTATACTACTTCATTCTAATCCAGGCTCTAATCCACCCTAACCCTAGCTCTCCTATGCTTCTTCATGCCGCCCCATTGTGATCATTTATAACAGGGGTGTCCAACCTTTTAAATTTCCTGGGCCACATTGAAAGAAGAGGAATTGTCTTGGGTCACACATCAAATACCCTAGCAATAAGGACAGCTGATAAGCAGAAAAAGTCAGGCAGGTTACAAGTTAACAATCACTGATATAGATAATGTACTTATCTGAGTAATACAACATTTTTTGTAATACTTTTTATTAATTAAGTTAAAGAGGGCGACATAAATCTAGTGCGATATTTGACACTGTTTTTGATAAACTAACACATCAATATCTGGTTCGATGGATGTAGTAGCAATTCTCAAATTAACTCTCAAAGTGCTCATCAGATATTTTGGCCGTGATTTTTCCCTTTATGTGCTTCATCCTTAAAAATAGTTGAGCACAAACATAGGTGCTGCTGAAAATTGATGACATGATTAAGGTGTGTTTGTGAAGAGTGGGATATTTTTCTTTGGGAAGATAAAACTTGTAAAAGTCCAGTAAAGAGACACTGTCAAATTTTTTTTGGCTGCATCTAAGAGTAAACACATTTTTACAAAAAATTCAAAATTTTTAAGCAAGTTTACAAGTTTGTGTTTGGTTGCATTCATAGCTATCTTGAGGCTGCATTTGGCCCGTGGGCCGCAGGCTGGACGTCCATGATTTATATCATTCCATACTGATCCAGGATCATTTATAACACTGCATTCTGATCCTGACTCCCTTGTGCTCCTCTATGCTGTCCCATTCTGATCCTCTTTGCTCCTTCTTGCTGCTTTGCTCTGACTTCATTTCCCTCTATACTGTGCTGTTCTATTTATGTTTACCCTTTGCTTATGAGATATGAATGGACATATTGGATGGATAAGTAGTAGAAGCTTCTTGACCTCACCACAGATGTGCTGCTAGATAGTCTTATCATCTAAAAATGAAATGTTCTTTGTTGTCTAGAGATGCTCTATAAAGGCTGATATAGGTGACTCCAAAAAGAGTTCTCCGTACCAGTACTTTTAATATTTCAGTTGTATTGCCCCTCCCCCCCAACTTCCACGAAGACAAAATAAAAACTATTACTGTCTGATAGTTAGATTCCCCTTCTCCAATGTATTGCCTAATCTCTTTTAACCTCCCTAGCGGTCTGATTATTTCAGATTTTTGGTGCTGAAAACGGTACCATTATTTTGCATGGAAATATGTAGTTTTTTTTATTGTAGGCTGTAATTTTTAGGAATAACTCACTGAAATCTGTCTGAACAAGAGTCTATTAAACATCCCGGGTATGATAAAATTTGAAACACGAAATCATAAATTATAATTTAATAAATAATCATAAAAAATAATAATATAATAATAATACATTTAATTCAATAATATAATCAAACCGAAAACACTGAAATTTGAAATATAGCGCCAAGTTCGTACATTGCTGAGCAAAGTCGCAAAATCGTTTTCAGTGTCTGATGACGAATTTCCCCACGAATCATTATCACTCAATTCTGCAAGTGGTTCTGATTTACTATCGCTGTTCTCTATCTAAAACCGCTTTTGACCTAAAGGGACACTTTTTGGATGCCATGGACGTTTCTCAGTTTCCAGGCAGAAAGAACAGACAAAATACAGGCAGGGCACAGGACAAAGCAATAGGGACAATATGTATGTGAAATGGGTTGAAACAGCAATGTTTTACTATGAAAAATGTGTTTTGAAATAAATGACATTTTTAAAAATGTTCAAATTTCCTGCCGCCGGCGGCGCCCGTACATCCCGACGTCACAGGGACCGGAACACAGAAGCCGGATGCCGGCATCGGCCGGAGGAGATAGCCGGGGACGCTGCAGGGGACACATCGCGGGAGCAAGCAACAAGGTAAGCTCTGCAGGGAATCCCTATGCAGCGCCGCATGGTAAGCCCGAGTGTAGCTCGGGGTTACCGCTTTTGGCACTGACATTTTACCCCGAGCTACACTCGGGAATACCGCTAGGGAGGTTAAAGGGAATGCATTATGACAACACAATTTGGCTTGTAATGGCCCCTGCACTCAAGGAGAGAAATGAAATCAAGTGGAAATATTTTTCTTGATCATTTGAGTAGGTATAGTCAACACAGGAGCTCCCATCTCTGAAAAGCAGGGGGCAGAGAGCTAAAGTTACACAAGTGAGGAGAGCTCCGAGAACTGATTGGAGGGAAGACACACACCCCCCTTCACAAAGCACACCGAACAGAGCTGGAGCTGTCAATCACAGGCTGTGCCCTCCCCGTCACCATTTTTTTCTTGGTGTCAGGAAAACTCATCAGAAGAGACTCATACTGGTAGCAGAGGAACAGGGCAGTGGACAGAAATGACACTTAGTGCTATGGATTGAGACAAGTACACACTCTAGAGCAGGGGTGTCAAACTGGTGGCCCTCCAGCTATTACCAAATAGCAAGTCCTATTAGGCATTGCAAGGCTGACTTTTACAAACATGACTCTGAAAGGTAGCAGCATGATGAGACTTGTAGTTTCACTGGAGGGCCCCCAGTTTGACACCCCTGCTCTAGAGGGATATGCTTTGTTCATATTTCATGTGTGAGGTTTACAACCACTTTAAGTAACAGTTACAGCTCTCCTCCCCACTCCAGCCTTTGACTAGACAGTGGGATGAGATGCAGAAAATTGATAATCTTATCTCACCATCATGCTGCTCTTTCCTCCTATCAGCATGGTCCTTGCACTGCAGCACAACTGATTGACAACTTATGCTTCCTCTCCCGCCTCCCCCCCCCCAGTCTGAGCTCTGCTGTACAGGGACTGCAAGAGGCTACTACTGAGTTAAATTCAGGTAGGTACTCTGCTTGCATTGAAAAAAAATACCGAACTGCATTCATTTGAGACTTTTATATCTGCCTGGACTTCAGCTTTAAGACGTAGCAGGAGTACAAAGCAGAAAGACTTATAAATTCTCAGTTGCTGATCTGTTATGGTTGAGTTCTGGAATAATTGATGGAAAGTTTGCATTTTTTATGACTGATGAGATAATGCTTTCCAGCAATATTATATCCTTACTTTTAGTGTCTGAGACAAACAGAAAACATTGTACCAGGATCAATGGTATGAATTTACTGACAGTCCATTACTGCATGTTATAATGCAGCTAAAAAAAGACAAAGTACTGATCTACACACCTAAAGAATCAGTACATTTTTGTGAGAAATGCAAAGCCATACACCAGTATATTATTAACTGCTTGGCTTCTACAGTCTAGAAACCTATTCTTTTAGGCACAATTCCTCATCCCGTGAGAGCATTATTCTACCTTGCAGGTTTATCTAGAAGTGCGCACCTGGGCGCTCTCCTGGTTCTGCAAACGCACAGTCACCGACAGACATGGATTTCAGGCTAATGATAAAGAACTTATCAGTATGGTTCCCAATTATGTGATCATTGTGACAGCCAGTTGGTACACAACTAGTGCAAAGCAGCGTAAGAAATCATTATGGTTTGTGAAAAAATGTATTTAAAATGTTTGATGAAAACTGAAAAATAAGCAAAATGCATTTTTTAAAATGTTTGTCCAATTGCTGACGCAGAAACAGAGGATTTGTTAAAACAAGGTATCAAAAAAATTGTATGTCCTTAAAAATATAATGTCATGAAAGAGTTAAACATATGAATTTGTAAAATGACACACAATGAATAAAATGCCAAAAATGCAATTGCATTGTAGACTTGATATCACCCATGTCTGTCCCTCTGAATGAAAGGCTCTAATGTTAAAAAAGCTGATAAACTGCAATACTAATGCATTGGCTGTTTGTGAAAGATTATATAATCAGTTAGGGCTCGTTCACACCAGGAGGCGCCACCGAGCACATGTGCATGTTATGTGTGTTCCTGTGTGTAGCATTTTAGGGCAGGCCATTCATTTCAATGAGCTGCACTAAGTGTGTGAAAAGTGCTGGCACATTTTTTTTTTATAATTAAACAGCATTAAAACACATGGTACATGCATTTTGGCGAGCGTAAACACGAAAACATTTCCAAGATGCGCAAGGGTGCCATTAAGAAATAATGGTACCCAAGTACATCTGCAAAAGGCAGCACTTTTTTGTGTGGTACAGGAAAATGTGCAATTTTGCCCTTAAAGTGTAACTCCATTTTTGATTAGAAAAAAGAAAATCCTTCTGGGTGATCAACGTATATTGCAGAGATTTAACAAACATTGTAGTAAATTCCTACAGGTTGTGGCTGTGAAGAATTGGCTGTTTCCTCATGTTGTTTGCAAACTAATTCTGAACGGGAGGCATTGGTTCATTATAATCACATGGTGCATTATCAGTGTTCAAGTGAGAAAAGCTGCAGGATCTGCATCACTTTAGCAATATTTAACTCTTGGAAAATATCTTGCCAAAACTAAAATTCCTAATGCAGGGGATGCCTAAAATTTGGGGAAATCGGTGAGCTAATGACAGAATGCATCATATGGTATTAAATTCTACAGATAATTACAGAAACTACAGACTGAAAGATAATTTTTAATAACAATAAATTACAACTTGGCTTGTGTAGCAATTGTACTGTATATGAACATTAGAGAGCATATGGCACCGCTCAAAGCTGATTGTGAATTATAATCACCCTGCTGACAGAGAAAAAGAAGAGGGAGCAGCATCCCAAGTAGCTCCAGAGACTTGAAAGTGTGTGTAGAGATGAACACAGCTCAAACCGATCCCCAATCAGAGAACAACGATGTATAATGAATGGCAGCAGCCATTGGTGTGACCAAGCCCCCTCTGGGTGGGATGAAACGCATCAGAGGGTGTGGCCGGAGCGACGGCTGAGGCCATTCATCACACAGCGTTGTTCTCTGACTCCTGGGGATTGGTTTGAGCGGCGTTCATCTCTACACACCCTTTCAGTTGCACTGTATATGTTATATTATTTTTTATACTTTTTCCACGTGGAGGTACTTAACCATTTGGTAACCGCGCTATAGCGAATGACGGCTACAGCGTGGTTACCCAGTTCTAAGAGGGCATCATATGACGCCCTCCCGGAATGCGCCCCCTCCCGGCACCTCCAGTGGCATGTACCCGGCAATCTCCATGTTCACTGTGTCTTACGGACACAGCTGATCATGCAACGAGGTAAAAGGCCAATCACAGCAGCCTTTTACCACATGATCAGCTGTGTCCAATGACACGGCAGATCATTGAGTAAATACAGTTGCTGGTTATCACACTTGTCACAGTGTGAGGAAACTACTGCCGATAACTGGCAGCTGTCACAGAGCAGATCGGCACTGATCAGTGCCCTGAAGTGCTGCCCAGCAGTGCCACCCACCAGTGCCCAGCAGTGCCATCCATCAGTGCCCCCTAGCAGTGCCACCTATCAGTGCCGCCCAGCAGTTGCGCCAAGCAGTGCTGCCCTCAGTGCCCATTAGGGTCACCCATCAGTGCCAAGCAGTGTTGCCAGTCAGTGCCATCAGTCATTGCTGTCAAGTCAGTGTTGCCCATCAGTGCCGCCTATGAGTGCCCATCAGTACTGCCTATCAGTGACCATCATTGCTGCATATCAGTGCAGCATCATTAGTGCCTCCTCATCAATGCCCATCAATGCTGCCTCATCAGTGCAACCTCATCAGTGCAACCTATCAGAACCCATCAGTGCTGCCTATCCATGCCACCTCATCAGTGCCCATCAGTACTGCCTATCAGTGACCATCATTGCTGCATATCAGTGCAGCATCATTAGTGCCTCCTCATCAATGCCCATCAATGCTGCCTCATCAGTGCAACCTCATCAGTGCAACCTATCAGAACCCATCAGTGCTGCCTATCCATGCCACCTCATCAGTGCCCATCAGTGCTGCTTATCAGTGCAGCCTCATCAACGCACATCAGTGAAGGTGAAAAATTACCTGTTTGCAAAATGTATTAATAGAAACAAAGATATACTTTTTTTTTTAATTTTTTGCTATTTTTTTGTTTATAGTGCAAAAAAATAAAAACCCAGTGCCGATTAAATACCACCAAAAGAAAGCTCTATTTGTTTGAAAAAAATTATACAAAAGATGGGTAGTGTTGTATGACCGCGCAATTGTCATTCAAAGTGCAGCAGCTCTGAAAGCTAAACATTTCCCTGGGCACGAAGGGGGTATAAATGTCCAGTAGGCATCTATGATGCCTCCTCTTAGAAACAAAGTCAGAATAGATGCTGCCCACATGATAAAATGCTGCAAGTCTGTAAATACATGAAGAACATTTGGTTACCATCAGTTTATGAATGAAATACTGAATCTTTCAAAGTAAAAAATCTTCAGGGTATTTCTCAATAGAGTGGCACCTTTTAATACTTGTGTAGTAACACTCCGTTTTGTACATGTTTTACATACGTTTCATTTGCCTGCATCAAACTGTGTTATGAATCATCTGTTATCTTGTCACCTTTAAGACTTTTACCAGAGAATAGAACAGCCCAAGAATGAAGCAGAGCACCAGGGGGCTTTCAGAGTGTTACAGCAGCAAAAAAAGCTTTGACGCATTTTGCGCTACCGCGCTTAGTCATAAGTCTCAAGGCTTTCTTGCTGCTGTAGCATGCTGGTTTAAAACTTCATTTTACAGAATTTTTTTTTTTAAATCACCAGCAGGGACAGTACATAATAAATTACAATAAATGAAAACCATACCCTTGTGCTGGTGGCTGCTGTGTTAGGTTGAAATCTTCAGTACCCCCCCCCCCCCCCCCCCCCCCAGAATACCCCCAAAGTAGCAACATACGGTGCTGTGGGGGTTCATATGAGTCACTGCAGCTGTAACAGACTTGTCAAAATAGTTTTTCGCCCCCATGCTCCATTCATAGAAACCGTACTATCACTTTCAATAATGAAAAGCAGTGTATGATTGGAGGAGGTGGACCTTTCGTTAATTTACCCACTTTTTATAGCAGTGTTTCTCATCCTTTTTTCAG